AAACCAATGTGCCTGTAAAGCTAAAATATCTAAGAGGTTAAATTATTGTGAATAAGACCAAACTGAACATAATGGAATAAGCAGATATATACGAATCATCAGGCTAGAACGCATAACAATATCTCAAGCTTCAGCATTCAGAAAACGAAGGAGGAGAAGGAGGAGCAGAAAGAGGCCTGAAGTTGTTTAAACAGTGGGTACAAATTAAAACTTTTAAAAAAAGTGGGTATAGGTTAAATGGGGGCGACCAAATAGGGCGTCCCGTACAATTTTTTCGGTTATATGGAACAAGTTTTTAAACATGTCCATATCCAACAACTAAAATGTTTGGGTCAAATGATGTTCTGATCCAAAAACCAAACAATGACCATCCAATTTATGGGTTTTTTTCACTTTTAACCCGCCAAAAACTATTTATATTAGATAGCCAAAAAAGTATATAAAATTTATATAATTTTTATATACAATATACGGAGTGTGTGTATACACACAACTGTGCTGGATTATTCCAGTCCAATACCAGCAGTTATGGAACCCAATGATACAGTTGCTAGTAATTGGGCTTCATAAAGGCCTTAAATCGTTGAAATAGCGTGGCATAGCCACCTTTACGGGTGGCTATCGAAAAATAGCCACCGTCCGTGATGTCATTGATTTCTAGCCATTTTAACTTAAAATAGAATGTAAAATGATATTATTGCCCTTGCACGCTTTAACATACTCTTTAGTAACTTTTTACTCTTTGTTTGCACAGCAGCGCGTGCGGCTTTCGTCAGAGCACTTTTTTTCGAATCCTTGATCGTTTTAGCTCTAATTTTCTTCAAAATTCTCTGGATGAGTTTTGTTTTTACAATAATGTGTTTGATTCACGTTCTTATTGTTGTTTCGTTATGTTTAAGTTTGATTTACCGTACTGTTAGGGTTTAAATAATTATTTTTTGTGTTCATTATTTTGTTTTGTTTCTGATAATTTTATCACTTTGTTCTAGCATATATTATTTTGTTTTGTTTCAATCCAGTATAATATATAGGATATCACCTGTGTGTAATTTTTTTTCCCATTATATTATACTGGAGGAGTTGAGTTTGGTCTAGCATATAGTTGAGTTTTGTTTCAATCCAGTATAATATACGGGAATCACATGTGTGTAATCTTTTTCTCCAGTATATTATACTGGACGAGTTGAGTTTGGTCTAGCATATAGTTGAGTTTTGTTTCAATCCAGTATAATATACAGGACATCACGTGTGTGTAATCTTTTTCTCCAGTATATTATACTGGACGAGTTGAGTTTGGTCTAGCATATAGTTGAGTTTTGTTTCAATCCAGTATAATATACAGGACATCACGTGTGTGTAATCTTTTTTTCCATTATATTATACTGGAGGTGTTGAGTTTGGGATAGCATATAGTTGAGTTTTGTTTCAATCCAGTATAATATACAGGACACCACCTATGTGTAATTTTTTTCTCCAGTATATTATACTGGACGAGTTGAGTTTGGTTTAGCATATAGTTGACTTTTGTTTCAATCCAGTATAATATGCGGGACATCACATGTGTGTAATCTTTTTCTCCAGTATATTATACTGGACGAGTTGAGTTTGGTCTAGCATATAGTTGAGTTTTGTTTCAATCCAGTATAATATACAGGATATCACCTGTTTGTAATCATTTTTTCCATTATATTATACTGGAGAAGTTAAGTTTGGTCTAGCATATAATTGAGTTTTAATATACAGGACATCACCTGTGTGTAATCTTTTTTTCCATTATATTATACTGGAGGAATTGAGTTTGGGATAGCATATAGTTGAGTTGTTTCAATCCAGTATAATATACAGGACATCACCTGTGTGTAATCTTTTTTTCGAATATATTATACTGGAGGAGTTGAGTTTGGTATAACATATAGTTGAGTTTTGTTTCAATCCAGTATAATATACAGGACATCACGTATGTGTAATCTTTTTTTCCAGTATATTATACTGGAGGTGTTGAGTTTGGGATAGCATATAGTTGAGTTTTGTTTCAATCCAGTGAATTATAATGCTTTTTTTATGAGATTTCCAGTATAATAAGCTGGAAAAATCTTCGCTTTAGATATTAATTTAGAAACGTCTAACAAATTATACTGGCGCTATGTTCTACATTGAGAAAATTAGACAATAACACAGATTAAAGCATTAAAAACAAATCAAAAATTCGAAAAATTAAATTTTTTTAATGATACTTTGAATTTTATGGTTTGAAGTCTTGATCGTAGAAGAAATTTAAATAATCAGACAAATTTTAGATAGAACTTACTTCGATTTGCAGATTGACGACGGAAATTTTGCTAAAACTTCGATTTGCAGATTGACGCAGAACGATTTTGCTAACACTTCGATTTGCAAATTAACGCCGGAAGATTTTGCGAATACCTCGATTAACGCCGAAAGATTTTGCTAATATTTCGATTTACAGATTGACGGCGAAAATTTTCCTAATAACTCGATTTGAAAATTAATGCCGGAAGATTTTGTTAAGTTTTGCTAAAAGAAGAATTTAAGGTGAAGTAACGTAAATTAATAAAAAAAACAGGGGTATTTTAGTCAACAAAATGTTACCGCACTAAATTAGTGGCTAAATATCGTTGACCGGTAATTATGTGGCTACATTTGATTGACCAGGTGAAAAACTGGCCATTTTTGAATTTTTCCCCCTTAAATCCCATGTGCGGAAATTCAATAGCCCAAGTAATAAGTATTCTTTTGAAATTAGCAATTTTCTTCTTTCACCAATTTAAACTAATAAAGAAACAGTATAACTATATTCATAATTTCATATCATGAAACTGCAACCACCCGAAATAGGTTAGCAAACAAATAACCAAATTTGTTCTAACTTTTGAATGTTCTAAAAAAGAATAGTAGTTGATTTGAATACCATGGCATTTAATTTGTCGCAACCCGTTGTATGGAGTGAAATTAGTTGAATACAAGTGGCTAAATAACGAGGTGACACGTAGAACCGGAAATAAACAGAAGTTGAATCAATGGATAATCGGGATCGGTTACGAAGTGCGTAACCGGTAGAAGATGGATCCCGGAGGGAACACAACCGATGGCAAAGACTCAAAGACTTGACATCGAATAACATTTAATGAGCAATCGTTGCTAGGAATATTTGCATTCAAAGCCAGCCGTTATGCACCCATCAATGACATCTTTATTCTCATTCAAAAAGAGCTTGATTTTAGGATCTTGCCCCCCTAAAGATAGCTATAAATATCAGATTGACGACTCTTGTAGAGAACATGAAACATTCTGCATACAAAAACGGTATTTCACTATTCTACGCTCAATCTAAATAATTTTATCATTTCTCTATCATTGTTACCGTTCTTTCTTCAGGAAAGACCAAGCTCAAACTCAGGCTTGTTATTTTCTTTATTTGCTAATATTATTTTTGTCCTGTTCCTTTATCATTTTTGGATCAAATCGATTCGCTTGTCTATAAACCACGTTACAAATTCAACTGTACCGTTTTACGGGTAAATACCCGTACTCCCTATAGGACTTAAACTTGAATTCTAGTAATTTCAGTACCTCCACGTTAACCAGTCAATTGCTAGTCTAATGGTTACATGACAAAGTGCTAAAAATGGCAAAAATGACGTGAAAAGAGATAGGCTAAAAGTACAAACGTAAAGCAAAAGTTCGTAGTAAAAGCAGGGGTGGAACTAGAAGCTCGATTATGGTTCGGCATAACCCGGTAATTTTACTCAAACAATATATTTGTGTTAACAAATTCATTAAATATATAAAAATATGAAATTGAACCCAGTTATTAGCACTCGAGGTCGCCAATCAAAATTTAAGAACCCATAAAAATTCTGGCTCCGCCTCTGCATTTAGCTGCTTATTTTCCCTTTTGTTTGGAGTTTAGACCAATATTAATTTTTGGGATTTTGTCCATAGCCTGGTTGACCTAGGTGTTACAGAATGAGTTTGGTATTAAATAAAAAAATTGAACCAACTTGTTAAACTTGGTTTCTGGTTGTTCTTTAAATCTTTCTTACAATGATAAAACTGGTTTGTTGCTTTATTACTTTGATTATAGTAGCTGTTTCAATGGTTGTTAATTTCATTGGTTTATCAACATTCCATCTGATATCCCTCTTTTTTGTTTAATCATCTCATCTCACAGAGGTCTAGAATGCAGATTGAAAACACAATAATCAAGAAGGGAATTCATACCCTAACAAGACATGTCCATCCTTTTAAAAGCACTAAAGTATTCAAGATGTTAAAGGCGGTAGAGGTAGAAGATTAGTAGGCGGTTGAGCGTCTTTCCTTTCATACTAGTAATCATAGTCTTATTCTCGCATTCCCATCCACAGTCTCGCATTTCTGTTAGTTACTTCCTGATGTTGCATATGATTCGGTTATACTATTATCTTGATGTGTTACTGCTTCTCTTCTATGACTCTTCACTACTGCATGTCTTCCGCTATGGTGTTGTGATTGTGCATGCTAGCTTTTGAGCCGAAGGTCTATTGGAAATAGCCCCTCTACCTACACAAGGTAAGGGTAGGACTGTACACTTACTACCCTCCCCAGACCCCACTTGTGGGATTACACTGTGTATGCTGTTATTGTTGTTGTTTTAAAGACTGTAGGGGTACATTATACATATGAGGTAACTTGTGAATTCATGTTGTAAAATTAGAGACCTGCGCTTTGTACTCTTTGAATGTAAGTTTATGGTATTCCTTTGATTGACTCAAGTTGAGAAAAGACTACTCTACCAAGTAATAAGTTTTCTCTTTTTACATGAAATCTTTACTGCTGTTACTGCAGCTGTTGCAAGATTTTGGAACAAGAACCATTAAAATGGATCACAGCCACAGGAAATAGTAAATGCAGGTCATTTACAAAGACATGTTCATCCTGCTGAATTCGCGATTTCTGATACTAGATTAATAGGAGCTGAAGCTAAAAGGGAATATGAAAAATTGGGGATAGGATTCCATTTCAATGTGCTGAAGAAGGCTATACATGAATCAAATTTATAAATCCTTTAGACAAAGGGACACCTTTATGCTCAGGGGGGGCACTAAATTGGCCATTTGCTCTTACAATATAGTACTCCAATTAGTCCTTGTTACAAAGAATCTAACTAATGGCAACTATAAAAGTGGACAAAAATGAGACAATAAGAAGAACAAAGACTAAGTGGAACAAGCTCTAGGTTGGAAAACTTCATCCTTGCCCCTTCTCCTATCTAAACTAGACCTACAATTTTACAAGAGACTACCTTAGAGCAACTTTACAAGGGGCTTTGGATTTTATAATATGAAGAGACAACTACCGGAGGGACAAAAGAATCGGTTGGTGGATGCACAATAGTGATATTCATGACGTGCTAACTTGGATGACGTCCTTCCAACAAACATGCAATTTGTGCTAGAGAAACGTTTGCCTTATTCGCATAAAAATTGGAAGGCTGGATGTTCAAGCAGTTCTTTCGCAGGTTTTACACCGGTAAAATCAACGTCCTTGAGGGAACTGTTAATCTCCTCAACAGAGATGGGGATGCTGCATTGGAAGCAAATATATGAATGATAGAACATGATCTATGTTCATTTTGACAGCAAAATGGAATTTATAAGGTACCTGGAATTATCATCCAATATAAAGTTATTATCTGCCTCCTTTGCTTTGTCTGCGTCATTCCCGTCTTCTTTTGCTTGATCCTTAAAGCTGGAAATGACCTGTTCCGAGCAATATGGTTTAGGAACCAAGTGCAGAAAAGTTGATTTAAGCTTTGTCATTGAGAGAGAATCACCAAAGCTAAGGTAGTTTAACTTCCCAGATAGAAGAAAAGTAATCCAAAAACAAAAAGTTGAGGATGTAACCGATATCATGTATTCATGAGCGTTGTTGACTAGCAAATCGTCTCTAAGGAGCACATTTCATATACCTAATTAGTACTCACCCCCAGCCCCAAAAGCACCCAAATACAAAGAAAAGAGATTTAGTATAAGCAGAAGGAGAGAAAGGTAGACTTACATCTGGGGATACACCTTGAGTATTGAAATCCTCATCCCAGTAAAGCGTGCATATTCGATACAACTGTTGACTACTCAGAATCTGATAAGATAATCCCACAAAAAAAGACACTCAGTGCAAGGTGTTAAAATGATTACGACATGAATGCCAAGGACTCATATCATAACATAAAGATTAACTTCAAAACATCCATCTTAACACCGCGAATAATTCATTTAAGCCCTTAACAATCGGTATACAATTCATAACTTGTCCAATAGTATGCTTCCCGTGCTAGCACTTAAACAACTAACTAAGAAATGTTTACTGCCACATGTGGCAGCCTGGAACTGCCATGTATTAACAAATAACCATATTTGAAATCTACAATTAAGAAGACTATAAAGATGAACTTACGGGGCAGAGATCAGTTGTTAGATCTTCAGATGAAAGTCTCGACTTCTGATTAATAACCTGAAAACAAGCTATTTAGACAGGGCAAAATAGATGGTATATTTAAGGTCATTATCTCAAATTTGGAGTTAAATTTCCAAAAACGTGGTGTCACTTCCAAGTAACAGGAAACACTTCTGCAAAATCATACTAGGACGTAAACCGGATAGAAGGCCTCTAATAGCCTAAGAGTAAAAAATTACGGAGAAAAAGAACATCTGATTGATCAAAATTTGCCCATTCAGAGAGGAGAAAAACATACCAAAAATCCTACTGCCTGCCTCACATGCTTTAGTTCATCCCAAGAAGAACCAACATACTGCAAAGAAAGAAGGGTTACCAGGAGTTAAAACCTCAAGAAGTATAAAATTACAGATATGTAAATACAGTTCATGATATCTAACATCTACTAATAATGTACCCTTAGGGTACCAATGACAGATTACCTCTTCTTTAACATTGCCACACCAAAGTTCTAGTTCTTGCAATCCAGCTTTTACATACTCCCCGTTGCTGAATGAACAGCACTTTTTATTAAGGAGAAGGCTGCAATGAGGATTAAATAGTATGGTAAGTGGTGTGTCCATGAATATCTGGCCAATCTTTCTGCTATGAGATAGGAAAAAAGTTACCTATTGAAAAGCTGAACATTTATGTACGAAAAAATCTGGTTTAGAATTTTCTGGACAAAAACTGGATGAACCTGAAACAAAATATTCATATAAGTCCACTCATCAGTTTATAATAATATTAGCACATCACACTATTTCCAATAATGAAAAACATACATAATTTTCTTTCAGTGTACCGAGAAGCCCATTTAGCCTCTCAATTAAGCCGTCCCAGGGACCTGGTGGAGAACGACCATCGAGGGACTTCCGTGGTGATTGCGAGGAGACACCTTTTGATATTTGAGATGCCTAATTAAGATGGAAAGTGCAAGTAAAGTTAGAAATTTGAATATCAGAAATACAAAGACCATAATCCTGAGAATTTTTGAGTCAAAATACAAATTAGTTGGAAGCACAGTAGCTTATCACAATTTTCTTAAAAAGCCAGAATCCTAGTCAACGCGACAGTGAAATATAGGGGCCCAATGCATCCTTGTGAACTAGGGAAAAGTGCTAATTGAGAAGAGGATTTTATTCATGTGATATTTTGATTAACACACGCCAAATGATATTATTCATATTGTTCAGAATACGTATGTGTACTGATTTCAACTGCGTCAGGTTCAAAATACAAAATTGTATAACTTCAAGACTACAAAACTAGAAATGAGGACAACATTAAGCTGACTACACAGCCAAATAAAACAAGACATTGTCATAGTACTTCTGGAAAACATGGTGATATACCTGGATACATGAAGTCAGTAATGAAGACAAGTCCCTTTTCCAGTTATCCCGAATAATTCCATAAATCTTTTCAACATAAGCACTGAGCTGTAGCTTGAAAAGCAAAGCTGGCTGCTTTGCCTCAACCTGGCGTACAGTGTCGAGACCACCAATTGCAATGTTGGCTGATGAAGAACGGAAACTCTAGAAAAGAAGTACAACCCTTTCATCAATAAACCTGCATATTCCAGTTCCTCATTCTAGGTACCAGTATGTTTTATTCTGAGAGATTTACATTATGTCCAGCCAACGAAACTGAAAACAAGTAATAGTTACATTGTCTTGCTTGGAAATTCGCAGAATATGAGTACATAAACTATTAGAAAGTCGAGGACATCACCAACAGGTAGCCACCTAATAAGTAAGTCAATGGTGTGGTTTTATACCTTAAACCGCGCATCACACCTATATATAAAGTGTATATTGTATTTCATATTAATCAAGTGAGAATCAATATGAATAGTTCTCCTTATCTCTTCCTCTACATTCAAACTTTCATCATTCTATCAGAGCCTATTCAATCTGTGTAAATAATTAAAGTTAATTCCACTTACTAGTGCAGTGTTACATATAATTTACTTCCTCTTCATCACAGACTCCCCCCCCCCCCCCCCCGCCCCAAATATTCAACATCAACAGTAGTATCAGATACATGTCCAATTTGGTACATAACAATGTAACAAAACAGGGAACTCAAAGAATAACTGGAGAAGCTTTCTATGGATGTGCTTTCAAATACACAAAGTACTAGTGTAAAAGAGATAGCCAACTACTATGATGGTTTCTTTGCATAATATTATGCCACCCAGTTTTGGTTTAGATAAAATGAGAGGGAACACCGTAGAAACTTTAATTCAATAGTTTTAGGAGCACATTCAATAATAAAGACGATGTAAGAATTTAAATACCTGCGCCATTCTACCAAAAAACGATGTTGGTTGGGGCGGTTTACTTGGAGCTGAACTAGTAGTTTTCAGTGTGTGCTGAAGCAAAAACAACAATGTTGCACCGTTGGACAGCCAATAAGCCATTTGATTATTGTTTGTCTCGTCCTGCAAATTGATATAAGACAAGCATGTGTGTAAATAAGCGCGTATCATCAGTTAGAGAGAGCATTTTTAAGCCGTGATTTTAGAGGATAAAAACTGAAACTACAGTCACATAGATTATGACTTCACCGGGAACTGTTTAAGCTTATGTTTTGTAGATTTATAGCATGTATAGTGTAACACCTATTCCGCTTAAGCTGGAAGTTAAGATGATGAGCTAACTTGACAAATCCTTCTGATTTCAGTCGTCAGTTGCTTTCTTTCATTGTCTTTAGGATTTCTTTAGGAGGGTGGAAGATGAGAAGCGGTTAGCACCTCTCAGATGTAACGGGTAATAATGATATTCCTTCCCATTTTTGAAATGATGCATTTTTGACATAGTAGTACAAAAGTCCAATTCCGGACCAATACAGGCTAGTATGTATTACACTGATGTCATGACTCATGAACACCTACAAACACAACCTCTAATTTCTACATGATATTGAAATTTACCTCTATCGCAGAACCAATCATCTGAATAAGACGATCAAATACATTAGTTTTTTCTGCTTCGAAGGAATTCCAATGAAGTAGGCATTTGTATATGGTAAATGCCGCCACTGGTTTCCCTTCACTGAACCCTAGATCTTGACTGACACATTTGATAAGATTATCCACACTCTCCTGAAACATAATATTAAAGAGGATATTAAAATTAGTAGTCACATTATTATCACCACATTCATTCACAGGAAAGTGGAGGAATAATACCTCTGCTGATATATTATCCATCTCTTTCATGAAATATACCAGTGGGAATAAAACAACTTCTCAAACACTAGTAGCACTAACCTAGAAAAGTAACCCAATATTTTTTGTATATGAAAAACAATTTAAACACAAATTCATCTTAAGCATTGCGTACACACATAAAAGCGTCCTACCCAGGTTTAAACATATGCAGGTGTGTCCTTATACTATCTTCTGCTGCAGATTTGCCAGCTTTTTTATAGGTACACCATAACTTTTGAGAAAAAGAAATTGCAAGGAAGGTAGCTTTAAAGAAGCATCAAGAGAAGTCCAGAGTGGCCAGCACTCATTATTTTCAATTCTTTAGCTGCCACTACATATTGTTGACTATTTTTAACCAAGATATAGCCAGTGAACAAGGAAGTTTACAAGGGATCATAAAGAATGAGGGTGAGGTAAGGAAGAAAAAAAATTAAAAGCCGAAGGATGTGGACACCCATTCCCCACCCACCGGAAAAGAAAAGATTAGCTGTATCAACCTCTTAGCACCAGAGTAAAGAAATTCAATTAATCCTCTCTTTCCCCCCGACTTCTCATTTAATCAAAGATAATTTTTAATCCTGGTTTTTCTTTCGGGGAAAAGGAATTTGACTAAGCATCAGCTCATAATCTGTAAATCTCACAGTCATAGAATAGAGTTCAAACCACAGGCTTTTCAAAATAAATGTTTGTGTGGCGTAGCATGTTTTATGAATTTCAATATTTGGATATCTTGTCCCATCTATATTCAAAAAGAAAAAGTTCTAAGCAGAGAAAGATGGCAAACAGAAAAAGAAATCTGATTGAAAAAAATTTCGACCACATCCTGGGTACATACCCGCTGCTTTTCGGCCATGGATCTCCTCATAGACTCTGTACCAAACCATTTTCCTTGTGCGCCAGCGTTGGATCTCCTCATAGAATCTGTACCAAACCTTCTTGCTGGTGTTGCAGCCTGTGGTTCCTGTATACAATATTTCATAATTGACATTATTCAAAGCACCAACCTGATTGTTAGTCCCTCCATCCGATTTTATGTGACCATATTCGAGTACACACAGTGTTTAAGATGTTAATTTTGACTTACATGTTAAACTAGTGATTGTGGAAGAAAACGTCAGAGTAATAGTTGAATGTTAGTTCCTATATTTAAAACTCGAAACACTTTAATGAATTTGAATTCTTGAAAGTTGTGAAAGTTTTCCAGAGATGGAATGGTGTCAAAGGTTTTGGAACGTTTCAAAATGATAAGAGTATTATTCAAGTTGGGACAGAGGGAGTATAAAACTAGGAACTATATCGGTGATTCCTTCACTTACATGATGACCATTTTCAGAAGGCTGCAAGAGGAAAAACGGAAAAAGAAAAAAAGTTAGGACATGCTCAAGAAAGCTATGCAAAAGGATTGACATTTCTATGGCATCAGCACCTGAGTATTTATTGCGAATCGGTTTGAAGTTTTCCCAGAAGGTAAATGTAATGCTTGCTGTCGAAGAATCTGCTGGTCTTCTATATCGGAAAGTTTCTCTTCAAGCCTGAGATACAAATGCAAAGTTAAACAAGATATTCAAGCTAACTAATTTCACATGATTAAGAAATCCCGGACTTTAACTTGTACATATAAAAGATAAAGCAATTAGATTCTTAATAGAAGAAATCTATCTTCTCTGCTAGTTAATGGAAGAAATATATCTGAGTTCTACATTTTGTTAGAATGAACAGTAAGTTCTAATAAGACAAGCAAGTCCAGTAATTCTGAAGGAAAGCAGGAATAAGGAGTCATAATTCTTAAGAGGACCTACTCCATATTAAGCAGAGTGGACAATTCTCCTGGAACATACGTGGAGCAAAAGAGGGAATGATGGCACAGGAATAGAAACCATAAACCCATTGGAAAAGGGGGGCACACAAGTGGAACATCATTACTAACAGACCACATTAATAGTGCGAGTGCTGTTGTACACCGTGAGAGCAATGAAAAGGGAAAAATGGATCGCATGTTGTTCTATCTGTTCAAAGTTTGCTCTAAAAAGAAGAGGGGCTATAAAAGAAATATTGGAAAACATACAGAAGCTGCATACATGGATCTATCATCTGCTTTGACATACTTGTGTCGAAGCGATTTGATTAAGATAAATTATAATTGAACTTCTAACGCAAAAGGTTTAATTTTCATAAGCTAAAAGCCCCCTCAAGAAGACTTGCTGAGTTGATAAGTTTAGAGTTGTACTTCTCTCGATGGGTTTAGAATGAAAAAGAAGGCGAAAATTAGGATCTTGAATGGAGTGAAGATTTCCTAGACTAGATCTGTGTTATTGACAAGAAATTTCATTCCTCCTGGCAATTCCAATAGCACGATAATAAAATATGGATCCAGTAGGACAAACATATGAAATTTTGGGCCAAGCACATTAGCTTCAATTCAGAGGGAAGCTGAGGTGGATTGAAACTAGTGAACCACAAATTTATTGGGAGTTAACACAGCTGTTTTGGCAGTGCACAAAACTATAAACTTCGACAATTCAACTATAGGAAAATCAAACAAACAAGGATGATCCTGATTGACTTTCAGCTTGAGACAAACTGCTAGCAAATCTAAACGACATGCGAAACCATATTCTTTTAGAAAATAATAACAAATAAGATAAGATGCCAGAGATTGTTGAAGAAACCAAGCCATATATGTTAGATTTTCCAACCTTTGCATGCTAATCTTCAACTCAATTATCTTAGCCTCTGCATCCAGAGCTTGCTTCAATCGCTCCTCACTTAATTTGCTTGTTTCCTCATACTTTTTCTCTGTTTCATCAATTTTCTTTTCCAATGAGTTTACAAGAACCTGCAACATATTTGATACACAATGTTTAAAGCTAGTTCAATAACTGAATTAGAAGCAGCAATAAAACTGGTTGCAGCCAAATTTCCATCAGGTATTTCTTGAAATTTAAGAAGAGCATCTACTAAGTAGTACATCACATTTAAATCTAACATCCTCACCTTGAGCTGCTCATTTTCAGCAGTAAGCTTTCCCGTCACCTCCTGATCTACAACCTGAAACTCTACTTCTTCCAACAACTTTGTGGAAGCCTCAGGATCCTTCAGTAGCAGCTCTTTAGAACTGTGGTTCGAAATTGGTGTGAGATTAACTAAGAGCTTTATTGACAAGAACATATCATCCCCCGGCAATTTCAAAAGTTATTAGAGAATATGGATTCAGTGGAGATCAATATGCAATTTTAGGTCAAATCCAAATTATATTCACTTCAAAAGGGAGGCTAAGGTGGATTAAACAAGAGAGTCAAAATCTGCTAAAAGAATGTTACAAGGTAAATGATGTTAACAATTATTGCACTTAGACCATTCAACTACAGGGAAATCAACCAAGGGAAAAATTCCTGATTAACTTTCAGCTTTAGACAAACTATGATGGATAATCCAGATTAATACTAAAACATATTAAGGTATAACAAATAAGGAAAGGCGCTGTCTAAAGTTTCCCTACCTTTGCATGACTTCCTTCAACCGAGTTATCTTAGACTCAGCCTCCAGAACTTGCTTCAATCGCTCCTCGCTTATTTTGACTGTCTCCTCATATTTTTTCTCTCTATCATCAATTTTCTTTTCCAATGAGTTAACAATAACCTGCAACATATTTGACAAGATATTGAAAGCCAGTTCGACAACTAAATTATGACAATAATGCATCAGAAGCTGTAACCATGGAGTACTAATCTTGAGCAAGAAAACAGTCTATAGAATAAATTAGAAGCAGAAAAACTTTTCCTGGTCAGACTTAATTCATGTGCTTTTTGATCTTCAAGTAGAGTATGTGTGAAGATATGAACCTTGGGTCTAACTCAAACCTAAAAGCTAGCTCATGAGGGGAGGATTGCCCAAGTCCATATAAGGAGACCACCAGCTCATTCCCCAACCATTGTGGGATTCTAACCCACTCTAACACCCCCCTCACACGCCCAGACCGCCAACTGGAGTGTGGACAATATAACACTGGAGCCCAAACGGGAACGGGCCTGGCTCTGATATCATGTTAAAGAAATGGACCTTGGGCCTAACTCAACCCAGAAAGCTAGCTCATGGGAGAGGATTGCCCAAGTCCATATAAGGAGACCACCAGCCCATTCCGCAACCAGTGTGGGACTCTAACCTACTCTAACAGTATGCAATATCCATCAAATAGTACAACACATTTACTTCTACATCCTTACCTTAAGCTGCTCATTTTCAGCATTAAGCTTGTCGACCAGCCCCTGATCTATAACTCGGACCTCTTGTATAACAGATCCTTGTTCCGCAACCTTTGTGGTAGCCCCACGTTCCTTCACGAGCTGTTCTTTTGCTTCTTGAAGCTGAAGCCTTGTCTCTTCCAATGCAGACTGTAATTTCATTGTTTCCTGGGCTTTAGTTTCCTCCAGATTGTCCTTTGTGGTAGCCCCACGTTCCTTCACGAGCAGCTCTTTAGTTTCTTTAAGCTGAAGCCTCGTCTCTTCCAATGCAGACTGTAATTTCATTGTTTCCTGGGTTTTAGCTTCCTCCAAATTGTCCTATATAATATGGTTTCTGTCAATTAGCTGGTATAGAAACAAGATGCTACTGCAAAATAGAATCACATTTTGTTTCTGTTTATTTTCAATGCTTGCTTGCCTTGATCCAACTCCATAATCCAATAATAAACACTTCATAGTGAAACTATAAAACATACACGTTTCCAACATGATTTGCATCAAAAATATTTGAGCTATATAAACTCCAAATACAGCAGAATAGACATATAGGATGTGAATAGCCGAGCCCAACTACTTTCAGATTGAGGTTTAGTAGGCTCTAACGCGAAAGAGATATAAAAATTAACAAATTTGATCAAATACTGAAGTCAGAGCAACAACCAGAAGTTGATCTAAAACTCCAGCAAATGGAAATCTATTTTAAGTCTCAAGTCTAGAAATACAATTAGATCTATGTCTCAGTTGTCAAGTTTAGGACCTGTAACTCACAATAATGTGCAAAAAAAGATGGACTGGTCAAATATGAGAAGATATCATTTCCTTCAAACTGAGTGCAAAGAGGAAAGACGACATCATAGCTAACCATCCTGTTAGAACATAATTACCAATTATAAAACTGATAGTAATCTAGAAAGTTCAAAGAAATATACTTACCCTCATGCGCTTCTCCACCTGTAGTCTCTGTGTCAGCTCTTCAACTTCCTTTTCCAGCTTGCTTTTGGCTTCTTGGAGAGCTCCAGTTTCTTTCGCTGCCTGGAACAGAAAATAAAATCAAGACATTTAACACATCTATTAAGGTATTTGAACTAAAGCCTGCAAAATCATATGAGTTGAACATATAAGTCGGCTTTATTTCACTAAAGAAAATAAAACTAAAGCTCCAGCTCTTCGGTTTCACTCCACAAAAGCATGTTCATTTCCAAATAATTCCTTTCTTTTAATGGAGATCTTGCTTTATGTCCACTAAAGAAGAGAAAACTAAAATAGAAATCAGAAGGAAGAGAAGGAGATGATAAAGAACTATACTGGCAGAAAATTTTGCACTGCGAAATCATATGGGTTGAACATAAAAGCCATATCAAAAACCTTTTTTGTCATCCTTCGTGACACAATGCGCAAAAGGCACACCATAATGCACAAGGGTCGACACAGCAATTGTTGGGACTTCCACTGCTATGATATGGACTTCCCACAAACCACCTGGTTATTTTTGGTTCACCGTTCAAAGGTGTCCAGTTCAGCACACACATAAAAATTACCTTCTACCATCGCCCTGATGACTGAACCTCCATACATTAATTATTGGTGGGTAAGGGTGAGAGGAACAATTTGTTTCTTGCCTTTCTATTCAACTATTTCTTGCTTTGTAATTAATACAATGTACTGAGAAAGTTCACTATTATTCACTGAATGATTCAGAACTAGTTGTTATTCTATCGTAACAGAAAACTGGGAGAATAATGACACATACAATTTACACAGATCAAGGGACACAACAAACTAGCATGTCGTACCCAGAATCTTGTGAGCGGTAAAGGCGAACAGAGTGAGTTCTTACCATCTTTAGCTTTCGTAGTTCTCTGCGGGCCATTTTAGCTCTCCAGGCACATTGTAACACAATTGCTGCTTTCTTCATCCTCCTATAATGTAGGCGTTTCAAGTATCTCCGCCAATCACTCTATAACCAACATAATCAAAGAAAGAAAAATTACGCCGAAGCTATATGTCAGTCAAAGCATGTAAAATGGCTTAGTTACTTGAGTTCTAAATTTTCATTATGCTGATCCAGAAGGATAAAAAATTGACGCTAAAATGGCATGTGAAATTCAGAAAAGCCAGTAGAAAATCTCTCTTTACCTGGATAAAGATAGCTGCATTTGTTCGCTTTCTGAATTGAAGCTCATTTCGAGCAGCCATGCCACGCAATCCTGCTTGAATTGAAACAGCTGAAAAGCACAGCAATCTATAAGATTTCCGTGCAAGGTACTTGCGTGCATCTTTTTGGATCCTCAGAGAGGCAGCTTCTCTCCTCATGCACTCGTAGATAGCCCGTGCAAGTTGGCCTGCATAAGGTATCATAAAACAGTTATCGGGCATTTTTTTTTTTCTTATTGCATAAGTAAAACATTAGAGGCATTATTGAATTTAGAGAAACCAATTCACACGGTGTGATGGACGGCGTGTACAGGATCCAGGTACATATTCACAGCGGTTTCTAGCTTTTTGTCGGGGCATGGTCATATAAATTATATATAAAAGTTAAACAGGCTATCGTACCCCTACAAACAGCTTGGACTTGGATTGCTGAAACCCGTAACAACAAAAAAGTTTTGCGAGCGAAATATGTGCGAACTTTTGCCTGGATGATGCTAGCAGATCTGCCAAGGACCTCATTTCGGCGGGTGTCTAATTCTGCCATTTGGCCGGCTCTAAGAAACACTTTTGTTTTACCAACCTGCAATTATGTAAAATCAGATAGAATGCATCAACCGACAAGTTTAAATTTTATGAGCTTCAACAAAAAGAATCATACAACCAGCTGATACAAGTTTGAACGATGTAAATACATTAAAAAATCTGATGCAAAAGGAAAATAGAAAACCTAGTTTACAGGTTTCCCACAAGATTCTCAACAGTGCTCCTCAACTAAATTGCAGCATCCAAATGACCAAACACTTCAATTAAAGAGAGAAAAAGCACGGCATTTTCGGAGCGAAAGGAATAAAGCATGATTTTGAACTGTCCTTATTCTGGGAAAGGATCTCAAAGATTCCACAATTCTGGATTAGTACACTGTTTCTAGACTAGGAATCCGGATTTTATTTTTTTTCCAGATTAGATAGATTATATAATATTTTAGGAAGGTAATTTATTTCCTAAAGGAAAAGAGAATTGGGAGATCTTTTACTCATTGATTTCTTGCTGCTACAAACATGTTGAAATAGATCGCCACTAGAATAAAAAATAGAAAAAGGGAAAATGGAACTTCTTTACTTCCTTACTTCCCTACAAGTTCCAAGCTTGTCTTAATCAATATCTACAACCTAGCTCGAGGAGTGTTTATATTCTGGGAAAGGATCTCAAGGATTCCAGAATTCTAGATTTGTCAGCTTTTCTAGAGTACGAAACCTGATTTGATTTGTTTCTAGAATAGGGAGATAATATATTATTTGAAGTAGGTAATATGTTTGTAATTCCTTCCCTAAAGAAAACCAACCGAGAAATTTCAGTTCACTCTTCTTCCATCAGATTTTTACACGCTGCCCTTTTAAATGATGATAGCAATGACAATTAGTCACAGCATTCCATCGATGTAAGGAATTTTGTGAGGGCTAAAACCTTATCTGTGGATATAAATGCACCTATATAGCTGCCGATGTAATTAAGCACACAGAACAGAACATCTTTCTCTTTAATAGATAATCTTAAAGATTATACCCCTTATGATTAACCACTACCAGAAAAACGACGACCGGTACCTGATAACCTTTGAGTCCAGCCTTCTCTAAAAGTCTCCCGCAAGCGGCGACCTCGTCAATACTATCAATGAGAATGCTACCAAGTGAGAAAGAATGTGTGGGGACAAAAAAAAAATAATCTAAATGTTGACAGACCAAAGAAGAAAATGGATAGAAACCTCGAAACTCTTTGAATTGTGTTAATGCGAATAATACCTTCCATTTAAAACCTCAGGAGCAAGGACCTTAAACCGGCTTAAGAATTCATCAAACGGTTTCCGAGTAGGATAGCCAGCACAACTGATCCGAATAGCCTCCAAAACTCCCTAGAAAAGGTTTAGTTGTGAAGTACCCAGGCTTGCAGAGACTACATAGTTTATAACAGACGGAGGTTATTAAAGCTTACCCCACAACGAAGCTGCTGTAGTACATTTTGATTCTCAAAAATTTCTGGCTTCAAAAGATTATTTGGCTTCACACAACGAACATAATGAGGCTCTGTGGCATTAAGTGTCTCAAGCAATGATTGCAATTGTTGCTATACCAGGTACAGGGTAATATATTTCAGAAGCATGAAACAATGAGATAAAAACAGGTCGATCAAAGGAAAGAAGAAAATATACTTTAAATCGAGCGCCAATAGAGGAGAACTTGGTCTGTTTAGAAGATTCTTCAGGTAAAGGTGGAAACAAGCCAGAGACAAAGTGGCACCTTGAAGCAGTAAGTGTTGCTTGGTGCTCTGGAACTACATAATCCTTGTTCTTATCCAAAAAGAACTCAGTTTGGTATGTGACCTGACATGAAAGAAGTCAAAACAAGATTGAGCAACACTTGCTTTTCTTAGCAAAAATTGCATAGCCCTCACTCTTGTAATGTACATAGATATCTTTAAGAACTACTTTTGCTACATACATCACCAGCATAGTGGCAAATAGTAAAATCAGTCCGGGACAACTTTGGCTTGCTGAACCGCTTATGATCTTTAAAAGTCTGATATAGCTTTTCTGCGAAGGTTTCATATGTTGATCTTGGGAACATACTGGCAAAAATGAGCCACAAGAGTAGTCAAAACAACAACCAATGAGTTTTGTGGCTATTTTTGGCAATTATACCTAAAGAATGGAAATTTTGAGTAAAGAAAAGATTTGAACTCTCTACATACCAAGCCTCATCAAGAAGAGCAATGATCCCGCCAGGTTTCTGAAGGAAACGAAGTATTCAGAACATAAACATGGTAAAAATGGAACCAAAACATATCAATAAAATTAAAATCTATGACATATAACAGAAAGAACTGACGACAAAAATATATTATTCTTATATTAGCATATCTGTGGAGGAAAGAAGTGAAACAAATAGTATGGTATTCAACATAAGATGATTCAACATGCATTGATGATTTAATATATTTGGTAGAAAGATCTACTTTTTATAGAACTCATCTACTTTTTATAGAACTCCTTATCTCTACGCACTTGTATATGGTCTTGTCCCGTTTTCTGCCTATAAATCTTTCTCTATACATGTCGTAGGCAGTCATCAAAAGTAAAAGATGGTGATATAGTATATATCCAGGTCACCTTTTCTATAAGATCAAGAATATCTTGGTTATCAATGAACTCTATGTAACTCCAGTCAATTTCCTCTTTGGTATACTCTTCTTGCTCCATCTTGAAAACATGCTGGTAAAGGGAAATAAAAGGTTTTTCAGTATTTACATTAACATGTCCGAGCTATGAGACTATCAAATGAATGACCACACAAACCTGGTTGAAATGTTGCTGCAGCTTTTCGTTGGTCAAATTAATGCAAAATTGCTCAAAACTGCATAGAAGAAATCAATAATCATAACAGAGAGCATAAAAAAATAAAATTAAAGAAACTAGCAGGAAAACAAACAAGGCTATTCATCTAAATGTGAACTCAACACCAAAAGTGCTTTAAGAAGTAGAATGTGTGTATAGGCAGCTATAAATAAAGCAGGAACAGTAAACCATATCCAGAATAAATCTGGAAACAGAGCCAGATGTTGACAGAAAAAATTATGGTTATGTCAGATCATGGAGGATAATAAAATTTTAAATCCAAAAATCCAAATTGGCAGAACACAACTTTCATCCAGCATTCTGCAAAACTTAACTACTTGAATGATGAAAACAAAAGCATACCGGTTAAGCACCTGTTTGTCTTGAAACTCTCAAATCCATAGATATCTAGAACACCAATTGAGAAAGTTGAATCAGGATCTTGGCCAATGGAGTTATTGATCTTGTTCACTATCCTGAACAACAAAACAACATTTGTGTTGGGTCAATTACCTTTGATACAAATGAACAAGCAATCAAATTTACGGTACTCAACTAACCAATCAAACAATCTTGAGTAAACTATCTTGGCTAAAGCATCTCTACTGACAGCTGCAGCCTGTGGATCGAGGGACTTTGTAATGGTCTCATCACGAGTTACCATGACACGTTTGCACATGGAGTCCTCAAGAGACTTCTCATCACACCTAAAAAGATTTCAGCGAAATGATAGTTTTTACCGAAAAGCAGAGGCGGAGCCAAAATTTAAAGTTTATGGGTTCTGAATTTATCTCGGAACCCATTGATCGTCTTAGTTACTGGGTTCGCAATTAAATATTTGTACATATTTAATGAATTTCTTAATATAAATACAGTATTTAAGCAAAAGTGACTGGGTTCGGCCGAACCCGCACCTATAAGGCTAGCTCCGCCTCTGTCGAAAAGCACGCGGGTATCTGGAGATATAAATAGAAGAAACCACTTACATGAATAGTTCGGCTGCAATCTTAAGATGGAACCGAGACTTATCATCCTTAGGTTCCGAAGCGTCAGTTTCTGTTCCCTTTGCAAATTCAACGTTTCCCAAGTGAAGAATCGCAGCAACTACTCTAAAAATAGCATCCTGCAGTTGAATATTAAAACTAGAGACTCTCATGAAGTAACCCATCTATGCGAAGAATTTAATGATGCTAATACCTGCTCATCATGACTGATCCCAACAATATCCATAGCCCGCCTCGTTGCCAGGTATTCCTCTGACTCATCTACTCCAGCTAGTTCAAAAAAATTTGATTGGTTCAGATAATGAAATGTCCTAGGATTCCCTACTTTGTATTTTTCAACATCCTGCAAGAAAAAGAGAAAACAAGCAAACTAAGTAGCTCCAACTTAGAAAAACAGCATTGCATGTTGCATAAACTGTTGAAATATGTGATAGCTCATCTAATGCTTAAACTGTTAAAGAGGAGTCATTTTTATTTATTTATGTAGCGCTGCAACATATTTGTTTTGGGATATGTTTAACAAGGATTTAGCACTTCAGGAAGACAACAAAACTTAAAACAGAAGCGATAGTTCATTCGTGATCAGGTCACGTAGAAACTGCCCAAAATTTGCGTGCTGATATTTTCTCTTTGGATATTTCTAGTGAATCCAAGCAAGGAACTAGGATTTATTTCTCATCAAAACTCTTATGCCATGTGAGAATTAAGAGGAAAAAAATGCCTAAAGACAAGTATCTTATATTCAAACTTCTAAATGTACATGGGTTATATGTGACACAATTGTAAATACCTTAGTACATTACGGGTGTGTTTGGTATAACGGAAAATATTTTCTTGGAAAACAAGTAGTAATCTTATTCATTTTCCGGTGTTTGGTACGCAAATTAAGGAAAATGACTTCTCAAGTGTATTCCTAAATAATTTAGATATAATAAACATGAAGCCATAAACTTTCAAATCACCAACCTTCCGAACCCACAAATTTCATCAACTTTCGAAACCGCGGAATTTCGAACCCGTAAACTTTATAATTTCTAAACCCGTAAACTTCCAAACACATAAACCTCCGAACTCATAACTTTGGAACTTGTAAAATTTTCAACCTTTAAACCGATAAATTAAAAAACTAAAACTGAAATATATATATAAAAAAATATTTTCTTTTTTTTTAGGGGGGGGGGGGGGTAGGGGGCAGAAAAAGAAAAAAACAGAAATTTGAAATTACAAATAAATAAAAAAATTGTGCGTGGTGGGTGTGTGTGTGTGTGTGGGGTGGGGGGGG